GGCCGGAACGCAGAGTTAGTTCGTGGGTGGAGGGAGGGGGATTGGAAGGCCACAGCTGGGGGCGGCACGAATTTCACTTCCATTTATGTATTTGGTATAGCCCTGTGAGCCATTCGGCTCTTGAATTGTCCTGTGGCAGAGTCTCTCCCTGGTGAGGACGGTGCCGGAGGCGATGGATTATGGCAGTCGGGTTTTTGCCACTTGTCCGAGGTTTCCCCAGGAATCTTCCTGCTCGTTGAGGCAGCTGCTATCCTGAGGGAAATATGACAGTCCTCCCGTGATATTAAAAGTTGTGGGTTTTTGTTGTTGGTAGATGCATGATGATGATGATGATAATAATAATGCACCACTCAACCCAATGTAGTTTCTCGCACCTCCGATGAGCATGGTTGGCGACGAAACAAGTTCAACATACCGTGCATACCAAGTATATGGTCCATAAAGGATTTTTTTGGGGGGGGGGTTAGATCGCGTAAATATAAATGTGGTGTCGTTAAACCCGCCACCACCCGACACAGCCAATTAGCACTGTTTGTCACGTAAACAAAAGGTGCCAGTTAGTTACTAGTACAGCAGCGCACCGGTTGGGTGTTGGAGAGTTAAACCCACATTATACTGGTAGGAACGAAGTTGTAAACTGAGTGTACCAGCCTGCAATAGATTAATGTGTCCGTCCGTCCGTCCCCTTTCATTAACGATGAAATCTCGTGCTGTTGGGGTGTAAAAATAAAATTGCGCAAAATTCCAATGTTCCTACCAGCCCACCCTGCAGGGACCTGTTATTGGGGCGTGAAGAGGAGGAGGAGAAGGCAAGAGATACAGAGGAGGAGAAAACGCGACTCTTGTTGCTCTAGGGGCCGCTGCTGTCGCGAGGTGAATTTGTGAGGAGGGCGACTGGGCAGGCCGCTGGTGACATTCGGGGGCAGCGATTGCTCCGTCCGGGTCACCGGCGCCTGCCGTTCTCCTGGCCACCAGCTGCGTGGCGACGTGCTCGCGGACGATCTGCACGGCCTATTTTTGCGTCGATCCACCGCTGGATGAGGGCTTCCCCAAGCCGAGTGGGCCGTGGGAGTTATTTGAGAATTATTTTATTCGAGCGCCATTGCGGTGCGGGGCGTTGGAGTCTGGGAGCAGAGACGTGGTAGCGTCATAGAAGCGGAACAAAAGGTAAAGACGCAGCCCCTGTAATTGCTCGATCGGGCCACTGCTGGCTGAAGGGCCTCCTACTCGAGAGAGCCCTCGAGGGCTTCTTTAGAGGGTAGTTGGCCTCCACGTTGACACGGGCGAGGTGTCGTGGAGTAGGTGGGAGTACCCACACGTCACCCCACAGCACGTGGCCTGCCGAGCAGCCGACTGCTGTGAACTCATTCATCTTGCTGGTTGGATCGGCACATCACAATACAAAACTGTCGATCACAACCTGGCGTGCATTAGTGGTCGCCCATCCAAGCACAACCATCCAGGCTGAACCCTCTTTAACCCCTAAGATCTGACGCGATTGTGCCCATTCCGGGTGATTAGGCCGTAGGGAAATCGGTTGGCCTGCGACCAGTTTTTTAGGTGCGGTCGACAATTCACTCCGCACAACGACCGCCCAGTGGACGCTACGGTGGCTAGGAGATGTTTACAACCTCGCCTGGTATACGGGAAGGTCGTGGGCTCGATACCAACCCTGACGCCTGCTGCTGTATATTTGAAGTTTGAATGCCTCTCACTCTATCCCCGTGGTGGCGTCGATTTTTCTCCGGATCCGCCGGTTTTTCATTCCACATTTAGAATCAACATCACGCGTTTAGAGTGTTTGGCTGTTGTAAATGTCCACGTGATGAGCCACTTCGTTGAGCTATCATTTGTGGCCATCTAACTTAAAAAAAATAGCTCAGTGGGTCTTATCTGGTAAAATGAAAAAAATAGTTTAGTTTAGAATGTCAGGAGGGAATTATCAGCGTTTCCTCGGCAGTGATGCTGTCATTAAAGGGCCAGTGATATAACGATGTAGAATAGTTGTTATTGTTGTCAACCCTGTAACTTTTCAATGCTGGGCAAAAGCCTTACTGTTTTCTTCCATTACTTTTTTCCCCTTGCTGTGTGCAGTGAGAAAAGCACAGATCTATCTCACGGTTGCCTGACAGCTTTAGCCCGAAGAAAGTAGACCTGGTCACAAAGTACCAGCGGCGAAATTTCGTCGAGATTCAAGAGACAACTCAACTGTGACCTTGTTAAATAACGGACAATGGAAGATTTATAGATTTAGCAGTGGGCTGGACTCCGAGGTTGTTGTTGTTGTTTGGCTTTTATGGTTCAGCAGTTGACTCGATCCCAAATGTGCACGTGACTCTCTCTGACTCACCGCGTCGGAAATCTCCTGCGTGACTCCCAGGTCCCAGCAATGCCTTTCTCCTCTTTGGTATTGAATTGCAGTGCTGTGAATTGGATGGCTCGTGAACGTGTGTGAATTACAGTATCAGGGCACGGCTTTATGGGTGACTTGGGGCGTGCGCCAGGGTAGCGGGTTACTCGTTTATCGGAGAGAGAAAGTTGCTGGTTGGTGGCGGGTGACGAGGCGTCGTGCCTGTCGCACGTAACAGCGACGTGATGGCGTAACGTGGCGTGGGTGGGGCTCTCGACTGTACATCTGTGGTGAAAATGAGCTTCATAGCTCATCGGATTCCTACAGTGTAAAAAAACCGTTCCGATTCCGAATGACACCGACCGGCAGTTTTCAACAAGTTTGACCCGCTGCTGCGTGTAAGGACTCGCCCCATAGGCGCTGTGACGCGCTGATGCGAGAGGGGCATCATTCTTTCTGACAGGTACGCGGCTATTGTAGGAAAACCTCCTTTCACGTCCACGTCATCATCACTTCTTCATCACCACCTCGTTATGCGCGAAATGGCAGGGGGGGGGGGGGTGGGGGGCTCTGGGAGTTTGGGGTTTGGTGGAATTTTCTTAAAATAAATCCGTAAGAATTGAAGCCGTGGTTTGTGCAACCAATTTTTTTGACCCGATTGCTTTCCTTGTGTTATCGTAAGCACGCTATCGTGCTTACTTGCACCACAGACGAGACCCCAAACGCTGGATAGATATGTGGCACGGGTGATTGTGTCGAAGATCATATAGCCGATTGCGCAAAGCAATTTCCGAAATGGCAGTCAAGCAGCAGAAGCAGCAGCAGCAACCGCGGCCCCAGCGAAGGAGGCGCCTGCCACCTTCTGGACTACGTCGCGAACTGCAATGGCCTCGGTAGTTAGGCCGACGCACATAGTTCCATAGTTCAGTTCATAGTTTCATTTATTTGGTAGAGCCCTGTGAGCCATTCGGCTCTTGAATCGGGTGCAACAGCAACAAACAAAAACACGAACATCGCGGAATACGACCGCTGGTGGTGGTGGGGTCATCCAGAACATTTTTAAAAATTTTTTACCAGGTAAGGGGCCGTCCATAAATGACGTCACGCGATTTTGGACGATTTTTGACCCCCCCCCCCCCTTCGTCACACGGCGTCACAAAAAGTCAGACACCCCCCTCAAATATGACGTCACAAAGCTCTGCCCTCTCCCCCCCCCAAAAATGCTTCAAATAGCTTTAAACTATTATCATTGTAGTGCGTAGTTAATCTGGCGCTGCACTCTGATGTTGTAGGAGAAAACATTTATAAAAAAAGTCTATTTAATTAAGTAGAACGTGTTGTTTATATTTAAAGTTGTGCATTTTGATGTGACGTCACATTTCTCAACCCCCTCCCCCCCATCGTCACACATCGTCACAAATGTCTGACTCCCCCCCCCCCTAGGTGTGTGACGTCATTTATGGACGGCCCCTAAGGCCCACTGAGCTATATACAAACCGTGTCAAACCCACACGGTTTAGCCGTATTCTTGTACAGGGGAAATTGAGTTTTAAGGTCCATACGGCGTACAGCCGTTTCAATAAGGGCACAAAAATGTGTTTTATGTCTGTGTTTCTCCATTGTGATGGGGCTTTGTAGGATGAACGTTGAGATTTGTAAGGGAACGGGCTGACCAATAAGGTCTGAGTTGGTCTGTAATAAGGTAGGGCACTGATAAGGGGTTGACAGGTACTGTATATAGCTCTTTTTTTCATAAGCGACCTGGCCACGAATGCTAGCTCAACCAAGTGGCTGTTCATGCGGAAATGTATAGCAGCGTTTATGTTGATTCTGAACTTGAAGGGAAAAACCGGCGGGCCCGGAGAAAAAAAAATCCACGTGACCACGGGGAGAGAGAAAAAAAATAGAGACAGGCAAACTCCAAATATATAGCGGCAGGCGTCAGGGTCGGGATCGAGCCCACGACCTCCTGCATACCAGGCGAGGTAGTTAACATCTCCGAGCCACCGTGATGATGATGAGACACGCAAACTCCAAATATACAGCAAGCGTCAGGGTCATGATCGAGACCATGACCTCCTGCATACCAGGCGAGGTAGTTAACATCTCATAGCCACCGTGATGATGATGAGACACGCAAACTCCAAATATACAGCAGGCGTCATGGTCATGATCGAGCCCACGACCTCATGTATACCAGGCGAGGTAGTTAACATCTCCTAGCCACCGTGATGATGATGAGACACGCAAACTCCAAATATACAGCAGGCGTCAGGGTCATGATCGAGCCCACGACCTCCTGCATACCGGGCGAGGTAGTTAACATCTCGCATGATGATAATTTTCTCACGGGAGCGCTTGTATAACGTGTGGGCGGGGCCAGGTGGAACTTGTGGGCGGGGTTCACCCGTTGTGGGCTGGGCTATGGGCTTGTTTGTGGGCGTGGTTAAAAAGCCCTGGGCGGAGGTTGTAAGAAGTGGGGCGGGGTCACCCTTAGTAGGCGGGGGTCACAGCATTATTTAGCATAAATGGGCGGGATTACTCCGAACAGGCGGAGCCAGCCGGGTCGGGGTTTACGTTTAGTGGGCGGGTTCAGTGGGCGGGATTAGACCGAATAGGCGGGGTTAAACTTGAGTGGGCGGGGTCACGGATTCTCCCCCTCCCCCGGCCCCCACCTTCATTCCCCCGCCCCGCCGCTCCACGTGATCACAGTTCAGCCATGGCAGCGGCGGTGCTTGGTCGCGTGTGCAGAGGTGAGCAGTGAACGCAGTAGCAGCAGCCTCCCGCGCGCCTTTGTCTCTCCTCTCGAGCGCTCGCTGCTGTTGCTTTCTGTCTGAAGGACTTGGTGGGGGGTGGTGGTGTGCTGTCAGAGAATCAGAAACGGCCGTGGGAGACGAGCGCAGTCATATTACCACTGTGCCGGACGCCACCACGCGCGCGCTCACGTGTGCGTGTGTTGATGTGCAAGAGAACGTGCACCTAGCCTGGTACAACGCGGTGTGGTGACGTGACTTGGTGGTGAATGGCGGCCGCTGTTGGCCATGTGTGCTGTGAGCGAGCACCTCCCGTGCTTAGCCGGCGCGGCGTGCGCGCCGTTGGGGGTCGGTGGCGTAACGCGAGTTGACGCACGCCGCACGGCCGCCTTTGTCTCACCTTTACAAATCGCCGATTAGTCGCTGGCCGCTTCTCGAGCGCGGCGTCGTTTTAGGCTCAGCTCCAGGTACGAGACGAACCCGTTCGGTCACTCGCGATGGTGACCGTGGCCTGGAATCGAACTCCCACACCCCGCCACTACAAACAGGCGCTCGCAAACACTCGCGATCAACCACCTCCACCGTCTTTAACTATCTCTCATCGTCGACTATTTAACTATAGAATAGTCACAAAACGATTTCATTGATCGCCGTTAGAATTCCGCTGCTTTGGTTTCACGTCGAGGGCGGTGGGGGGTGTAAGTTTACTTGGATCATCGGCCACGATCGCTCCGCTGCTGGATGAAGGCCGCCCGCCCCAAGCTGTCGCCGCGTCTCCCCGCGCGTCAGTCCCCACGCTCGAGACGATTCCATCGCTCCGTCTCCTCACGGGCTGTGGCTCTCCTCCCGGGCCGCGCTCTCCTCTCGGGCCTGCCCTTACCTCTCCCCTTCGGCTTGCGGAATCGGCGATGCTGCATGATGTGGAATGTGAATAGTGTGGGACGGGTGGGTCGGTGTGACGGCAGCGGATAATTAAAACTACAAAAAATAATTGAATGGGGTGGGGGGGAGACGTGCGGTGGATCGGCAGAAAGGCGACGGCGCTGCCACGGCAATGCCCCGGTTTACGTCGGGGATGCGTGCCCGAAAGGTGCCTCGACGAATATCGAAGCGACGTAAAAATCAAAGCGATGTGTGGGTGGTGGTGGTGGTGGTGACGAAGGCTGAGTGGCGACGGATAACGAGAAACGAGACGGGCGATGCTGCTGCTGCTGCGTGTGGTGGGGGTTGAGGCGACGCAGATTCGGGTGGCGGTGTTCACAGTAACGTGACGACGCGTTTGGGAAACGACTTAAAAAGTGAGGGAGACGTGAATCGGGCTCTTACTGTACTGTACTTACGTGTTCCTGCTTAACTAACCCAAACTGACCAGCGTGCGTGTGTGCCTGTGTGTGTGTGGCAAAACAACCCCCTACCTCCTCGCGGTGCCGGACGGGCAACTTCGTCGTGGACAGTGCTGTGGGGGGAGGGCCAATTCCGATTGGCCCCTCAACTCATGGCGTCTGTGACCACCACAGGGGCTAAACGGGGGCTCTGGACGGGTGCGAGGGGCTGGTAACCCCTCCACCTTCAAAAATTTACCACTAAACCACGACTGAAATATGTAACTAATAAGCTTGTGCCGGAGGTCCCGGGGGGACAGGCCTCTATGACGTCTCCTGGTCAAACCCCAATTGGCGGAGCCAGGAGATTGAATCTCTAACGTCGGGGCTCCTCCAGAAACAACGAAAAGCCACTTCGTGTGGCCACGTGGAATTTTCGAACGCTCACTGCGGAGGAGAGGCTGCTACTCCTCTGTCGGGAGCTGGACCGGTACCGCCTGGATCTCTGTGGCATTCAGGAGGTCCGGTGGATCGGTTCTGGCTCCTGCCACCATGAGGGGTGGACAGTCCTCTACTCGGGACAGCAGACTGCCAAACAACAGGGTGTGCCTCTTCCTATGAACAAAAGAATGAAGGGGGCGTGGGAGCGTGGTGGTGAAGTGTGGGAAGCTGTAAGCCCCAGGCTACTTTGGGCTCGCCTTCCCATCAATCGGAGGCGAGGAGTGGTGGTCGTGGTTCCTTATGCCCCCACCGAAGACGAACATCCGTGGAGGAATGCAGGCAAAGCCGATGAGTCAGATGCCTTCTATGACCTCCTGTCACAGGTGCTGGCTAAAGTGGCCCCTCGGGATAGTCATCTTGTTGGGTGACTTCAATGCCCGAGTGGGTCATGATGCCGGCACCTGGTCTGGAGTGATTGGAGGGCATGAGCCAGATCAGCTCAATAACAACGGTAGGAGGCTGCTCGATTTTTGTGCAGCCCATGGGCTTGTAATTACCAAAACGCTGTTCCGGCATTGGCGCATCCACACAACATCATGGATGCATGCCGGGTCCAAGCAAGAACATCTGCTGGACTACATAGTGACGGACCAGCGGATGCGAGCCCATGTCCTTGACACCAGGACCTACCGTGGAGCTGATCTGCCCTCTGACCATCGACTTGTCATCTGTAAGATGCGCTTGCCATTCTTCCACTCTTGTGGGTGTACACCCAGGACCCCATTCCAACCTAAAGTGGCCTGGTCTCAGTTATCTGATGAAAGTTGCAAGCGAGAATTTCATCATCGCCTGCGGCTGGGGTTGGCATCGTCCCCCACTCCTCCTGATGTCGAGGGTAAATGGGCGAGGTTTAGGACTGTGACTCATGCAGCTGCAATGGCTGCTTTGGGTACGCGGTCTAGACCTCCCCTGAGACCCTGGCTGACAGAGGAGGTGTTCAAGATAGTTGATAAAAAGCGACAGGCCCACTGTCATTGGCTACAGAATCCCACATCAGAGAATGAGGAGACTTACCGCAGCGTTCGCTCGGAGGTTCGGAGAGCCGTGAGGCGCTGCAAGGATGGGTGGTGGTCGCGGGTTGCTGAGGAGATGGAGTCTGCCTTAGTGGCCCGCGATCACAAATCTCTATTTAACTCCATCAAAAAAGTAACCTGCAGCGCCACACTTATTACCATCATTAGGGGAACAAACGGTGATCAAATCTCCGACCCCCAGGAACAGGTTTGCAGATTTCCTGAGCATTTCTGTGAGGTCCTAGGGGAGGGAAAATCCCTCAGCCAGGAAAACATCGTGGCACAAAGTGGGGATGACCCTGCTGAGGCTGCAGTGCCTCAAATATTGGAAGAAGTCACCCCCTGTGAGTGGCTGGCTGAGGTGCCATCTGTTGAGGAAGTACTGAAGGCGGTCCGGAGTCTGAGACCAGGAAAGGCACCGGGTAGAGATGATCTCCCAAGCGAAATGCAGAGGGAGGGTGGCGTTTGTGCACAGACTGCCCTATATGACATCATAACAACAGTCTGGACCAATGGATGGGTTCCGCAGGATTGGAAGGATGCCCTTGGTGGTTCCCCTCTTTAAGAAGGGGGACCGCACAGACCAGATCAGAAAGGGTTTTATTCGCCATGTAAGTTCACACCGACATGGAATTTACTTTGGCAGGATGGTGCATACATTCAACATATAGGAATCTAAAATCTTAAATAAGTTTTAAACAAGTCTTACTATAATAATAATAGTTAAAAGTCTAACACCAAGGGGCTGAAGTATAGAAAATTGAATAAATATCGAATATAAAATAGCTTTAAGATATAATTAAAAAATACAAATAGGTTAACATAGTTAATATCGGCAAGGTGTAATTATGTAGATAAAATGTTAAAATCAGTGTAAGCCCTTGGCCTTGTTTAACAGGCCAGCAGCAGATGGGAAGAAACTGTTTTTATGGCGTGAGTTTTGGTCCTGATGGACCGAAGCCTTCTGCCGGAGGGGAGTATCTGAAACAGAGAGTGTCCAGGGTGGGAGGAATCGGCCATAATCTTCCTCGCTCGCCTCATGGTCCTTGTCGTGTGCAGGTCCTCGAGGGTTGGTAGATTGCAGGCAATTACCTTCTCAGCAGTGTGGATGATACGCTGCAGTCTGCTCTTGTCCTTGGCAGTGGCAGCAGCGTACCAGACGGTTATGGAGGAGGTGAGGATGGATTCAATGATCGCTGTATAGAATTGCACCATCATTGTCTTTGGCAGGTTGAATTTCTTCAGCTGCCATAGAAAAGTACATCCTCTGTTGAGCTCTCTTGGTGAGGGAGCTGATGTTCAGTTCCCAGTTGAGGTCCCGGGAGAGAATAGTGCCCAGGAAGCGGAAGGACTCTACAATTTTGACCGGGGAGTCTAACAGGGTGATGGGGGTGAGTGGGGCTGTATTCTTCCTGAAGTCCACAACCATCTCAACTGTCTTTAGAGCATTTAGCTCTAAGTTCTGGCTACACCAGGTCACCAGGTTGTCAGCTTCCCACTTATAGTCAGACTCATCCCCACCAGAGATCAGCCCAATGAGGGTGGTGTCGTCCGCAAACTTCAAGAGTTTGACGGACAGATGATTGGAGGTGCAGCTGTTGGTATACAGGGAGAAGAGCAGTGGGGAAAGGACGCAGCCCTGAGGAGTTTCGGTGCTGATGGACCTGGAGTCAGAGACTTGTGTTCCCAGCTTAACGCACTGCTTCCTGTAAGACAGGAAGTCTGTGATCCATTTACAGGTGGTGTAGGGGACGTTCAGCTGGAAAAGCTTGTCCTGAAGCAGGGCAGGGATGATGGTGTTGAAGGCAGAGCTGAAGTCCACAAACAGGATCCTGGCGTAGGATGCTGGGGCATCCAGATGCTGTAGGGTGAAGTGGAGGGCCGTGTTAACTGCGTCGTCCACAGACCTGTTGGCTCTGTAGGCAAACTGAAGGGGGTCCAGGAGAGGGTCTGTGATGGCTTTGAGGTGTGCCAGGACCAGGCGCTCAAAAGACTTCATTACCACAGATGTAAGGTCGACTGGTCTGTAATCATTTATTCCTGTTGGCCTTAGCTTTTTGGGCACAGGGATGATGGTGGAGGACTTGAGACAGGCTGGTACATGGCATGTCTCCAGGGAGGTGTTAAAGATGTTGGTGAACACCGGAGACAGCTGGTCAGTGCA